GCAGTAGAGGGGGGTAGGGCTGCATGGCCAATCACAGTCCGAGACGTCATATGACGTCAGTGATAACGCAACAAAGACACACACTGCGCAACCTTACCGCGCCGCTTACCCAAGCGGAGGGAGGAGGAGGGAGAGGCAGGCAGGCAGGCGGGCGGGTGGGTGGCGCGTGGCGCGTGGTCAAAATCTAAAAATAGCATCCGAGCCGGACACTCACCGCGTAGCTGTGGAAAAACCCGCGTTAAGTGAAAGTTCAGCTTTGGCAAGGCACCGCGTATATGCGAAAACGCGTTAAGTGAAAGCGCGTTAAGCGGGGTAAAACTATAATGTTAAAACGCCGCATTTTCACTGTTTGGTATTGGACACAGTCATAATTTGGGCAAACGTGTTAAAAAGTGGTTATTTCTAAATTAAACCTAATTTTACCTTAGTTCATAAGAAAAACAAGTGGCAGAAGCATTGCTAAAAGACCTCACCAAAATAACCAAAGAAGCCTACCTAACCTTACCTAACTTCCTAGCCATGAGGCTCCACCTTCGGACCCTGCAGCATATTAAACATGATAATATTTACTATGATATGGTGTAATTTAAAAAAATACTGTGGATGTGAGAGCAGCTGCTCAGACAGTGTGGCCCATAAACATACATTGGCAACTGGTATCGATTTTAGACGATTTGACAGTGTACAGCTGACTCGTTAAGGCACAAAAACGCAGACACTGCGCTGAATGTCATAACTAGTAAAGTGACCCATTTGATCGATAAATATATACTCAAGACAAAACCCAGTGCCTCTAGGAATACGAGGGGATGCCTACACATGAACCATGTTGAGGTCGACAAAGATAAGACGAAAACCCAGAAATTCAAGATGTGGGTTGGGTCAAAAGATGAGCAGGACAGGAGGATTTATGCAAGAGCCAGAAACCGAGCAGAGCGAGAATGTAGAAGGGCTGAAAAGGAGTTCCAGAGGCTGGTTGCAAGCGAGGTCAAGTCAAACCCAAAGGCGTTTTACCTCTATGCAAAGTCAAAATTACAAACGCGAGGAGTGTCAGACCCAAGGCTTGAAGATGGTAGTTACGCAGATTCTGACCAGGACAAAGCCGAGGCATTGAACATCTTTTCCTCGGTGTTCACAAGAGAGGATACGATTAACCTTCCTGCGTTTGAGGACAGACGGTTCGACACAGCACTGACCCACATTGTGTTCACAGAAGAGGGTATTAGAAATAAACTGTCAAAGCTAAAGGTCCATACGAGTCCCGGCCCTGACATGGTGCATCCTAGAGTGCTAAGAAATTTGTGCAACGAGATTGCCAAGCCCCCGAAGATCCTGTTTTGTAAATGCTTGGATGAAAAAAAGGTCCCCAGTGAATGGAAAGTGGCTTTTGTGAGTACTATCTTCAAGAAGGGGGATCGTCACTCCACGAACAACTATAGACCGGTGAGCCAGACCAGCATCATAAGTAAAGTACTTGAGAGTATTATCAGAGATGCCGCAATGGAACAACTACTACGAAACAACCTTGTAAAGGATTGTGAACACGGTTTTATGCCAGGGCGCTCCTGCTTTACACAATTAATTGCTCAAGGTATTGGATATTTTGACACATTCTGGAATGGGGTGGTAACATCGACAATATATACCTAGATTTTTCCAAGGCTTTCGACGGTGTACCCCACAAAAAATCAAATTGGAAGGGGAAATGTCCTAGCGTGGATAGAATATTTTCTACATGACCACAAGCAGTGTGTGGTGATTAATGGCAAAACCATCATCTGTACTTGTCACAAGTGGGGTACCACAGGGCAGTGTATTGGGCCAGTTGTTGTGTGTTTGTTTTATAAATGACATGCCTGACGTTGTACACTCCTCCATACAAATGTTTGCCGATGATGCCAAGATATTTCGTGAGCTCCAAAAATGGTCGAAGAAATGGCTGCTGAGATTAATGTCACGAAGTGTAAGAGGATGCACCTGGAGCGTACCAACGGTAAGGAGGCATATTATATGTCCCAATGGGATGAAGAAACTGCACTATTTGAGACTGAATGCAAGAAGGACCTAGGTGTATATGTTGACAATGAGCTGAAATTCTTGGGCCATTGCGAGAAGGTAAATCAGGCAAATAAATTATTGTGTCTTTTAAGAAGGTCGTTCAGATATCTAGACGTTCCGTCCCTCGAAACGATCTTCAAGAGTGAAGTGCTTTGCCATCTGGAGTACTGTCACCCCCATCTGGTCCCCGAGATATGCTAGGGACCATCAGTTGGTTGAAAATGTTCAAAGAAGGTCCACCAGACTGGTGCCTGCACTTCGGCACCTCAGCTACCCTGAGAGATTGGAGCGCCTTAACAGAGGAGCAAGGGGTGACCTAATTGAGGTGTATAAGCATCTCAAGGGGCACCAATCAGTCGAGTGTCCTTACCTGGAGCTGGCGGAAGCTCGCCCCACAAGCTGAAGATTGAAGAAGCCGCAAGCCCAGAAAACTGTGAGGGCAAACTTTTTCGGAGTGGGAGTTGTGAACTCTTGGAACAATCTATCAGAAAGTGTTGTGACGGCACCGAGTCACTAGAGATGGTTCAGGTACATTCAGGAGCCGGTGCATGCCCAGTACTTGCCAACAATGTGTAACAGAGACGTGACCGATCGCCCAAGCGGCTAACGAGCCGATCATTTGGTGAAGAGGATAAAAGAAAAAGAAAAGTAACAGACATGATCGATCGCCCAAGCGGCTAACGAGCCGATCAGTGGTAAAGAGGATAAAAGTAAAAAGTAATCACCGCGAAGAAAGACAAAGTAGTGCATGCCAAGTTGCCTAATTATCTACCAAAGGAAACAATTCCCCCCTCCCCCAAACTATCATAGTAAAAATATACACACGAAAACAAATAATGCATCGGCGGGTTAATCACCAATATTAGCCGTGCCATGGTGGAATTTTTTATTTTTGAGACGTCACAGTACACTCAGGCGGCTCAGCCTGAGCGGGTCGGTTGTAAACAAACAGATGACACATGGTGACTCAGTATTTATGGTATACAGTATAATCAATTTCTTCACATACTAAGCATGTACACACATCATTTAGTGTCATATGATCAGTTTTTCACTGTGTTTTACCCCGCAATTTCCCTCATCCTTCACGCCCTGTCCACTACAGGTGATCAGATACTATAAAAAATAAACAAATACATACAGTATACTGTAGTCTGGCTTTACGCGGTTAATTAAACCCATGGAGGTCCGCGTATACAGTAAAGCGAAACGCGTAAATAAAATAAAAGAACCTATGGGATTAATTGAAATAGAGACTGGGCCGACCACTAGACTACCCTTTTTTTGGCTAACGCCGACACAATACTGTACATTGTAGTAAAAATAACATCTTAATTTTATGATGGTATGCACACAATATATAAGATAAATAGCAATAATATTAGGTTTTACAACACTTACATTAGTAGAAGAGGCAAGGATGCATAGACCAATCACACCATGCGGCGGAGGGGGTGTGTGAGTAGTAAGGATACATGGCCCAATCACAGTCTGCGACGTCAGCGCCCAGCACCTCGCCCTGCTGCTTGCCGCGTACATGATGGAATTTACCGTGTAAATAATAATTATCTCTTCTGACAGGTGCCGCGTAAATGGCCTTCCACAAAATATATCCGCGTAAAACCAGACTATACTGTATAATTAAACTAACAAGTTGTTGCCTCTTAAAATACCTAGTGTAATGATAAGAACATCGATAATATTGATGATTAACCCACTAACACATTATTTGTTTTGATGTTTATTTTCTTTTTATAATTTCATCAGTGAGTTCTGATATGATAATCATTTCTTGTGTAAATGCTTAGTTTGGTAAATAATTAGTCTCCTAAGCACACACTACTTTGTCTTTCTCAGCAGTGATGCCAGATCCAGGATGTAAACAGTCAATCATATTGATGTGTTTCAAAACGCTCCCCTAGCGCTGCACTCAGATCGACGCCTAGGCTCTGTGCACTTTGAGACACAACATGCAGCTGCTCTTACGTCCACTAAACAAAATTAAATTACACCATACCATAACAAGTTTTTTGTTTCATATGCCAAGGTAAGGTTAAGTAGGTTTCTTTGGTTAAGTTGGCGAGGTCTTCTAACATCAATTCTGCTGCTTGTTTTTCACATCAACTAACATTATGTGAAGTGAAAATTATATATAACCACTTTTGGTTAATATTGACGATTGACCAGAGGCAGGTTAAATGTTTTGCCATTTATTTTCTTACTCTATTTTCATCAGCGAGTTCTGATATGATCATCATTTCTTGTGGAAAGGCTTCGTTTTGTAGATAATTGGGTGCCTAAGCACCCACTTCTTTATCTTCTCAGCGGTAATGCGGCGGTGACATCTCATCCCAGGATGTAAATAGCCAAACATATTGACGTACTTCAAAATGCTCCACCGCCCGGGCCAGACCAACGTCAATGCTCAGTGTATGCTTATGAACCGTTCGGTACGGGCAGCTGCTCTCACGTCCACTGAAAAGGTAAAATTACACCATATCATAGAAAGTTCCTTCTGTTGAATATACCAGGGGTCTGTGAGGCAGAGTCCCCCCTCTCCCCCCCGGCTAGAAAGTTAGGTAGGTTTAGTTAAGTTGGTGAGGTCTTCTAACAACACTTTTGCTGTTTGTTTTTCATATCAACTAAGGATAGGTTCGGTTTAATTTAGAAATAACCAACTTTTACCACATATGCACAAATGCTGTCAGTTTTCACTATAAAACACAGTGAAATTGCAGTGTTTTTAAACCGTTTTCTATGAAAAATAATTACAAATTCCTTTCTATGAAATATCGGCAGCAGGTCAGTCGTCAATAAATGCCAGAACATCTGTAAAAAAAAAATAATAATAATAACGAAAATAAACTCCATGAAGTGGTAACAGTTTCTTCATAAATTACCTTAACTGGCACAACCAAAAACATTACAAGTTAAAGACATACATAGGCTTTATCTCCTGATTTTCATAATTTTCAGAGATATAATTGAAGAACACTTGGCGCATTATTCCCAGGTCATCACCATGTGCATCTGTGAGAGTGGTGAGCATCTCAAGTGTGGTGTGCAGTTGTTCAGCTGGACAAGTTGGAGCCAGAAGATCTTCAACCAGACACCACACTTTCTGGACACCATTCTGTGGGATGTAGATTAGTTACATATTAGTAAATTTCCTCAGGGAAATTTCTATTTTCAACCAATAAGGCAGGAAATCACTCTGATACAGCCCCCGCCCCCCTCCTCCCTTGCCTCCATTTTTTTTTTTTTTTACAAGTTGCCAATAGAGTCCCACAATATTATTGGGTCCAGTTCTAGATACAGTATATCTCGTCATTTCTAATAACTTTTCTTAGTAACGTTTCCATCACAAATGATTCATTTTTGAGAATATCACATTAATTTGTTAGGGATTCATCTAATATTTTCTTACAGCGTTGATGTTACCTGCATTTGGTTAGGCTAGGCTAGTTAAGTTAGGTTAGGTTAGGTTAGGTTAGGTTAGGTTAGGTTAGGTTAGTTTAGTTTGGTTAGGTTGGTTAGTTAGGTTAGGTGGTTGTTTCGATATGAGTTCTGTTGGGGGGGGGGGGTGTCCTAGGGTGGGAGCCCCCCATCAGCCTGGTGTTAGGTCAGATAAGGTTTTTAGCACAAACTAATTTTGAGGTGAAACCTAGGTTTTTCTGATGGGTTTTTGTGCGATTCATTCGAATCTGATAATCTTTTGCCAAAACTTGGCTCGGATTCTCAAATTTTGGTTATTTATATAGCATATCACTCGTTTTTGCTCTCCCCCACCCAAAAACCCCGATTTCCCACGGGTCCCCAAAGATTGTCAAACTAAAAAACGAGACATTTGCAACAGAAATGAAGGTCAGAATCGACCATAACACGTCAAAAACCATCGGAAAAACGCAAAATCAAGTTTCGTGTCCAAAGCCACTAAGGGCAACTTATAATAAAGTAACCCCCCTCCCCCAAAAAAGTGTTGTCAACAAAAATCAATATCAGCATCGAATAAAGCACACCAAAACCCATAGTAAAAACACATTGCTCAACTCAAAAACTAACCTAGCATAGTATATTGGTTGAAAATGCAACAATTGCCTCCTTGATTTCAGTGCACACTTCGCCTTCAGCAGAGAACATTACATCACTACCTGCATTATATACTAACCCCTTCCAATTTTCTTGTTGACAGTAGTTCGTTAAGTTCTTTGATTGTTTTAATTCGTGTAGTTATAGGGGATTCTGTACTAAGTTCAGCCTTCAGTCCCTCTGTTAAAGTGATTCCCCACCCGGGTGGCACAATTGCCCGTTTTGTCTTGAACCATCGCTTCAGTCGTTCAGGAAAATTGTCTTTGTCTCTGCCCATATTGATGTCATTACACTGAAACAAATGATACACGTAAGGAGATATTTAGAGACTTAGATAAAACAATCACCAATCTTACCAACAATATTGAACAATGTGTAGACAACTAGATGAATTTACCAATGCAGAAAAGGTCTCATGGAGGCCGCTGACCACAGTTCGGCACACTCATCATGGGTGTGGTCACGTGGTGCAATAATAGTGTCAATACACAATATATCATTGCAATGTAAACCATACATAACGTAAAATGTGCAATGTTTTAGTCGATTTCATTTAAGGTCAATGATCTCAAATGAGTTAACGATACACACAATACACAAAATCTTATGTATTCCTGTAAATTAGGGTCATCGAAATACAAAACAAAAATTATTGTTCACAAGAATGATCAACCTGAAACACTTATACAAGGTCACTAGGAGCCTCCCAACATAGTACACGCATGTTTATCGTGATAAAAAATTTTGGTCTACACAAAGCTTGACTATTGCAGGACACGCTCGGCCTCCTGTCTACGAAAAGATGATGTACTGTATGCTGTACGGCATAACAAAATGATTGCATCAAGTCATTAGTGAAGGGGTTCCGGGTGACGGCCCATGTTTTGTATTCTACACGGTTTTATTCAACCCATCAGAATGCGCTCCATTTCATTCAATTACATAACTAGTCAACGCAAAATTTAGAAAACATTTCAGCAAATACTTACCAAATACCTGTATCTCAACACCCGGTGCGCAGCAACTTTCCTCCAGCCTAGTTGTAAACTGACTTCCCTGTTGAACCTGTTCCCGGCAGTAAACTGATCCGGTACTTCATTCTGAATTCATAAGCAACACCGCTTCGTTCATGATTCAACACTTTTGTAGTACCATCCAAGCGCTTCGAAGTCGAAATTCGTCATTTAAATTACATCACACTTGGACAATCACGATTGCCACTTGGAAGACTGTTTTATTGTGGAAAATAACCGAATTGTACTAAGGTTATGTAACTTAGTTTTATTTGTAATTGTGACATTTATTTGATGTATTTGTTGTGGTTTCAATAGGAAGTGTTGAAATTCTCACTTGATTTTTTTTCTGGCTATTGAATTTATTTTGACCTTAATTGTGAACTAACTAGAAAGTGTTTTAGTTCTCAGTTGATGTCAGTTTATAACAATTGAATTTATTGATATTGTAGTGGATTTCTCCCCTACAAACCCTGTTTGTCGCTGAGTAGCCGACCCCGCAATTCCCCAGTGTATGCCTCGTGGTCTAGGTCAACCAGCGCCGCCATACATGACGGAGGTCAACTACTAAGCCACGCCTACCTCCGCTATTTAAGACCTGACCTCGTGGTGACCTAGCTCTCTCCTTCTAGCTACAGCTGCAGCAAGCTACACCACCTCCTCCTCCGCTGCCTGGCGGCCCTCGCTCCCGCCGGCGACCATGGCGACCCACAAGCTGTCCTCCTCTGAGTACCCTCACCAACCAGCTCTCTCTACATCACGCTTGTAACCACGCTGCCACTTCCCAGCACCAAGCTGCATTGTACATCCAATACAACATGTATACAAAGAGCACATTGTGAGTTTCCTTTCTCCATCCCATCCTGAGAGAGAACAAACATCTCGTACCCCACAATATAACATGAGTTTAGTGCTGTATTTTCTATTATATTGCATTTTTGTGTTGTTTCTATTAGCTTATAATTTTAGTGCATAGGGCATTAGTTTCTAGCAGTGAAGACTTACAGGCATTGTCAGTAAGTGTATTATATGATTATTTGAGAACTAATAAATGCATAATTTCAGCAATTGCATTGATGGGTTGAGGACTCTGTGGTGATATGGACATCTATAAAGAATGCAATCTCTGAAAATGGATTGTTGGAAATACAGTACAGTACTGTACTATCGTGCACAAAAGTGGTGTCCAGTACCCATCCACAGTGAGGATTCGAATAGCCTTGAGTCTGAAGTTTCGAAACAGCTGGGGGGAAATGCTATGGTCGGCCAACAGATGTCGCCCACTGTAGTGTGTGTGGGGGGGGGGGAAGAGGAGGTGGGGGCCGGATAAGAGGCAGGTTTATTTATTATTAATACCACCATAATTTCAAGTTGCCTTTTTAACTACGTTTTGTCTTACAGTTGTTTATGGTTACGAATTCATGGAACAGGTGCAGTGCCCTGGGTGCTTATTGCCGCTGTAGCGTACTGTATGTGGCCAGTTGTCAATTATCTTAGTATGGGCACACAAACGTACGTACATGTAGATATCTCACACTCAGGAATGAGGTAGAATAGAAACTCACAATGCGCTTTTTGTATATATATTGTTGTATAGTGCAGTGCTTAGGAGTGACTAGGTGGAGAAGCTTGCTCAGGGGTCCTGTAGGGCGAGGAGGTTTCTGAGGAAGCTGGGTGGTGAGGAGCTGTGAGAGACGTTGTAGTGGATTTCTCCCCTACAAACGCTGTTTGTCGCTGAGTAGCCGATCCCGCGAATCTACAGCCGCAGCAAGCTACACCTCCTCCTCCGCCTGCCTGGCGGTCCTCGCTCCCGCCGGAGAGCATGGCGACCCACAAGCTGGTCTTCCTCTGAGCATCCTCACCAACCAATTCTCTTCTTCTAGCTACAGCCGCAGCAAGCAACACCACCTCCTCCGCCGCTGCCTGGCGGCCCTCGCTCCCGCCGGAGAGCATGGCGACCCACAAGCTGGTCTTCCTCTGAGCATCCTCACCAACCAATTCTCTTCTTCTAGCTACAGCCGCAGCAAGCAACACCACCTCCTCCGCCGCTGCCTGGCGGCCCTCGCTCCCGCCGGCGAGCATGGCGACCCACAAGCTGTCCTCCTCTGTGCACCCTCACCAACCAGCTCTCTCTACACCACGCTTGTAACGACGCTGCTGCTTCCCAGCACCAAGCTCCATTATACATCCAATACAACATGTATACAGAGAGCACATTGTGAGTTTCCTTTCTCCATCCCATCCTGAGTGTGAACCAAACAACCCATACCCCACAAATGGTGACCCCGGAGTGACCACTCACACAGGATGGAGGAGAAACAGATCACGCTCGCAGTCTTCAAGCAACATGGAAGACTGGCTTATCCACCCAGAAGCAGCTCTCATCGGCTCTACAGCGACTGTCTCTACACCGCAGGTTAGACACCCTAGAGCAGCACTGCTTCTCTAAGCAGACACCAGCTCCTCTTCCTGCCCCAAGCACCACGTCCTACCGACTCCACACACCCGTCCTGCCTCAGACGCCGACCCCGGCCCAGCAGTAACCCCTGCCGCCCCTGACGCGGCCCCTGTTCCTGAGTGCAGACCCACACACCCCTCTTTTCTCCCTCAGGTACTCCCTGCTAATGTCCTGCACCCTGCTGCTGTCGTGAACCCAGCTGCTGTCACGAGCCCTTATCCGCTTCTGCTGACGCAGCCCCTGCTCCTGACCCAGGCCCACACACCCCAGCAGGCGCATCTGACGACTCTGTACCTGCCTTTGAGGGAAGAACAAAATTCATCGCCTCCACACACCCTTTTTCTTCCTCTGTACTCCCACAGATATTGTGTATCTAGACAGTTGTCCCCAGCGACCGGCTCATCCACGCCATCGCCGTTGTCTCACATGAGGCATGCACCGCCCGTCCTGCCTCACATGTGCTATGCAACCCTGCAGACAACAAGTCTCCTTTACCGCCTGGAGGGAAGGGGGGAGTATTGTAGAGGATTTCTCCTCAACAAACGCTGTTTGTCGCTGCGTAGCCGACCCCACGAATTCCACAGTGCGTGCCTCGTGGTCTAGCTCAACCAGCGCCGCCATACATCACAGAGCGGGGGTCAACTACTAAGCCACGCCTACCCCCCCGCTATTTAAGACCTGACCTCGTGGTGACCTCTCTCTTTCTACCTACACCAACCAGCCAGCAACACCTCCTCCTCTGCCGCTGCCTGGCGGCCCTCGCTTCTCCCCGCCTGCCTGGCGATCCTCGCTCCCGCCGGCGAGCATGGCGACCCACAGGCAGGTCTTCCTCTGAGCATCCTCACCAACCAGCTCTCTCTACATCACGCTTGTAACCATGCTGCCTTCCCAGCACCAAGCTGCATTGTACATCCAATACAACATGTATACAAAGAGCACATTGTGAGTTTCCTTTCTCCATCCCATCCTGAGTGTGAACCAAACAATCTCATCTCCACAAGTTCATACAGTGTTGCACCATATAGAGATTGTCACTAGCAGGTATCATTGATTTGAGTCAACTTAGATATGTTTGATTACAGTTAACGCATTCAAGATCCTTTGTGAGTGATGTTGAAAGTTTCAACTGTCCTTGTTGTTAGTAACACTTGTCAAGTAAGTGAGAGTCGAGTCTGCCAGTACGAATGGCCTCTCGCGATGTCGTCCTTGGGGATAGTCACGAGTTTCCAATTGCTACTGAAGTTAGATTATTTTGCTTGCCAAACCTCTGAGAATCTGATATTTGCAGTTCGATTATTGTCAGTTGTCTTTAAGAAAGTCATTAATCTCCTAAGAAGAACATGTCAAACTCCTTATCTCAAAGATCTCAACGTATATCCATAGAGGCTCCTTGTCTAGAAATCCCACCGCTGTCATGTAGAAATGCTTCTATCCACGCTAGGACATTTCCCTGAATTCCGTACCCTTCCAATTTGACTTAGCCTTTCGTGGGGTATACTGTCGAAAGCCTTTGCATAAACGCCTTAGTTAAGGACGTTTAGGTGACGGGCAAGTCGAAGGGAATGATTGAAACCCGCCTTTTGATGCATTCAATATTTATTGATGTGGTCAAAACCTGCACTGCCTTACCCAAACAAAGATTAGGGGGTGAGCGGTGTTTACGGACAAGAGGTCCTGATTCTGCTGAATGTACTGTACGTATAGTTTATGTGAGGGCGCGGGTTCCTTCTCTATCTCTACACCACCCTCATCTTACTTACTTCTCTTAGTCTTACTCTTACTCAGTTCCGTCACCTATTCTTTTGGTAGCATCGTCGAGGGTCTAGGCACGTGGGTATAGTAATTCTGGTATCAAGTCACTTGGATAGAAATAAAGGTAAAATACTGTGGGAGAAATGAATACACCTAAAGTACTCTTAAGAAACAATTTATTAATATGCAATCAATGGGGAAAGATATTGTATTAATCATATAACTACCAGGCTC